TTTCTTCTGATACTTGCTGCCAAAAGCCCAGAGGACTAAGCGCTTTAGATGATTATAAATTATCTTCATATTCCCTGCTTGCTGTTAAGCTTTCAAAATCTTGGAGGGGGGGGAACAGAAAATAAAACCACTACTGCTTCTGAGTCGAAGCGAACTGCTGCTTCTGAGTTGAAGGGAACACAGCCCATTTGCAAAGTGGAGTTTTGTGTGTTTAAAGGCTCTTGGGTGTTGAGGCCACGTGTGCTCAGGGTTGTTGCAGCTGGGCCTTTTCCTATCAGCCCTGAGGGTGTGTTCCTGATAAGATGCACTTGTTCTGATAAAGCTGGATTTTTTTTTTTGCTCTGACACTGTGTGTGTTACCCTTCGCTGGGTTTCAGGGTAGTGGGTTCCCATGGGTTTGATGTTGCTCTATTTTGTCCTGGATTAAAACTCTGTGCTTGGAGACCTCGGAAAAGCTGCGTGCATGTGTGCACATTTAAATACAGTTTTATAGTAAGCTGTGACTTCGAAAGAACCCAGGCCGTACTGATTTTTGTGTAAAGAAGCTAAAAGAAAATGGAAGGGTTTCTGAGCTGGAGCAGTGACGGGCTCGTCCAGTGTAACACACTCTGTTCCGGTTGAGAAGCCGGATACCTCCAGTCGGTGGGGGCGGTGCCTTTCCAAGGCCACAAGCAGACCAGTGGCTGAGCCGGACTAGGATCTGCATTTCCTGTCTTCTCAAGTCTTACATGACTACCTAGCATGCTCTGCCACTTTCCCACCATCACTTTTGAAAGGAAAACAGTTGTTTCTTTTGGGAATAAGCAGTAATCCTGCGTGCTAAAAATGGAAACGACACAGAAAACCATCCGAATCAGTTGCCATGGAGTTGATACCACCTCCTGGCAATGCCGCGTGTGTCAGAGGAGCACTGAGATCCGTCACGTCTTTGTTGTGGTTGTTATGTACCATAGAGTAGGAACTGACCCATAGCTGACCCTCCGGTGGGTTTTCAGAAGCAGGTAATCACATGGGAGGAGATTGCCCATCCTTCTACTGTGGAGCAGCTGGTGGCCTTGAACCTCGTGCCTTCAGGATTGTGGCACAGCTTCTTGCAACTAGACCACCAGAGCTCCCTATCCAGTCTTGAGTGGCTGCTTTTACAGCAGTAGATGGCCAGGCCTTTCTTCTGAGGTATTGCTCAGTGAACTTGAACCTCTAATCTTTTGATTAGTTGGCTACATGCTTACCTATTTGTGTCCCCTCTACTGACATCTAAATAGTTTCCCTACCTGGGACAAGTTACTGTTCTTTGTAACTTCCAGAAGAAACCTGTACCCCAGCAGTGTGCGTGTGTGTGTGTGTGTGTGTGTGTGTGTGTGTATTTAGAGATGCTCATTTTCTGTTCTCTTTATTCTGTGCACAAGCTTAGACACCTGACCTCTTTCCATTAACACTGTCTTGCTGGCGATTCTATGACAGTGAAAGCCTTCATTATGTGTTCTAGTTCTGTAGTATTCCAAGCAGCGAGTAAAGAAGAATTTAAGCCATCTCCAACCAATGAATGTTAGGTTGTTTCTTTGTAGTGCACATGGTTAAGTGCTCATCTGTGAGCTGATAGATTAGGGTTCAAACTGACCCAGAGTCAACTTGGAAGACAGACCCAGGGATCGGCTTCTGAAAGGTCACTGTCTTAGAAACCTCACCGGGAGTTGTGCTCTGCGCATGGAGAGTCTCTGAGTTGGAATCACCTGACTGGCAGCTACCAAAGTGGTTTCTAGTCTTTTGATAATTTGCGTTGCTACAGTGATTTGTCTGTATGCCACCAGCTTTGCTCTTGTGGACATAACTCTAGGAAGAGCTTAATAGTAGCATTGCTTGACTCCAAGATTATGTGTGTTTGGAATTTTGATCAATGTTACCAAATTAACCTCTCTGGAGATTGTGTCTTTATATTTTGGAGCTGGGTGCTAAAAATCTTTGAATATGTAAACATTTTTATATAGATTTTTATTTTTATTTTTTTTTTACAAACTGTCACCTGTCATTTGTTGGCCAGGCCCTTTTGGAGGTGCTAAGGATAGAAAGGGAGCAAGGGAATCATCATGAAATGTACTGATTTGTGGAAGTGAGACTAGAGATTGGAGGGGGAGAGATGAGAAACAGTAACTTTACATTGGCTTAATTGGGATTGTGAGAAGCACTTGGACAGAACAGGGAAGTGGGAGTGGGCGGGATTAAGGGTGGAGCTAGTGAGACAGAAGGAACCATGTGTACAAAGGTCCCGGGGCAGATGGAACTGGGCGCTTCGGATGTATGGAAAGCCGGCTGGCTTGGCTAATGTCCAGAGAGATGAGCGAATAGAAAGTGACAAGACTGGAGGGGCAGGCAGGACCTGCCTGGCAGGTCTTTACACGTTTACCTGTCAGTCTTTACTAAGAGTGGGGGCAGCCACCTTTGGGTTCTCAGCTGCGCCGGGCACAACATCAGAACCCAGTGACATCAGCCCAGCTACACTGGTGTTCCCTCCAGGATGACCCGGAAAAGGCCACCTGCCAAATCCCTCCAACTCCTGAGGCTGGAGCCAATCACACACCTCTAGGAAGAGGGCCCCTTTCTAGGCGGGCAAGCTCTTGAACTTGAGTCTTTCATTGAATTATTCATTGAGCCAGTTTACAGAAGGCCTGTAAGTGGCAGATGCTAGGCTAGGTACTTGGCAAACAACGACGAACCACAGAAGATGTGGTTCCAGCCCTGGTGGAGATCTGGGTCCAGGGCTCACTCATCATCATGGAGTTGGAACCAGCTTATCGCTGACCCTCCAGCGGGTTTCCAGAGGCTGTAAATGGCATGGGAGGTGATTGCCCATTTTTCTCTTGTGAAGTCGCTGGTGGATTCAGACTGCCTGCCGTTAGCTCTTGACAACACAAGTCCCGGTCAACCGGGCTCCCTCGTGGATAGTGCAAGGGTTGCCAGTTTGTTCTGAAAGGACCAGATAGTTCCTCTTTGGGGCTTTGAGGATTAAGGTTGCAGATAGTCAGCTCTGTTGCGGTAGCAGGATAGTAGCCTTAAGACTGTGTATAATGGGTGTGGCTGTGCTGCAATAAAACTTTATTGACAGATCGATCTGTGGGCCAGATAGGACCCGAGAACTGACTGTGGTTTGCTGATGCCTCATCTACTGGGGATGAGATGCTCTAAACAGAAAATATTTGATGTAATTCTGTTACTAACAGGTACCCGGAAGAGATAACAGGGAAGAGGGGTTGAGAGTGACATGGGGTGGAGGTTCTCTTTTTGATGAATCGGTCCAGGGGAAGTCTTGGCTGAACAGACACGTGAAGAAATTAAGAGGAGAATGAAGATGTTACTAGGCTACGAGTCTCCTTCTAGAGTACTCTAAGACAGGAGTGTGTGTGATGGATAGTGACAATGTCCCCAGAACTGGGAAGGACTGAGGAGAGAGAGAGGCAGGGGTGAAGACAGGTTGGGGCCGGGCAACAAAGTGTGCTCACAGGTTCGGATTCCGTGAAAGCTTTTGCAAATGGGCATGAGACTGGATGGAGAACAGACCACAGAAGGAATAAGGTGGCAAGGAAAAGACGAGAGAAAAAATGATTGAAGTGGTCCAGGCAGGCGTGAAGGGTGACTTGGATCGAAGAAGTGGTGTTTACGTGAAATTGGCGTGTGTTTAGGGAGTAGTGGAGCCAGGATGTGTTGGGCACGAGGGACAAAGGAGTCAGTGCTGACCCCAATGACTGACAGCTTGGCCTTTTAGTGAGATGCGGCACCCTGAAGGGGGTGAGGGAGGAGGGTGAGGGGGATGATTACTTTCCCATGTAGGCTTTATGTGAGGGGTGGTTGGTGTTATCATGCCACTAACCTGTGGGATTTTCTTTGAGAAGAAAAAGATACACAGGCCTACGAATTCCAGTGACCCCATGAGGTCAGGGGTTTGGGTCTATTTAACCAGTGCTGGCCTGTGGTCATGCCTTGTGAGGTGAAGCACGAGGTGGACGGTCACTCTCAAACAGCAAAAATCGGGTCCCGTTGCACCCTCTGGTTTGACGAGGCTGGGGCCACTGAGCCGTCACAGCTCTATCCTTTGGGAGAATTCTAATCCCATCGGCTCTGTTTTTGGTGACTTGCCTCTTCTCCCTGGGCCCCAGCTTCCTCACCTGTAACATGTCAGAGGTGAATCCTAGTTCTGTATGAGACTGTTTCTTACCTTTGGATGAGGACCACCTGGGATTTGAACCCAGAGAAGGACGTGGAACTCTCTGTACCCTGCCGCTGTCCCTTTTCATCAGTAGAATGACTTGATGGGCCTCTCGTCTTGTAGTTGGGTGCCATCGAGCCGGCAGTGACTTGTAACGGCAACAGAAGGTAACACTGCGAGGCCCCATTGCCAACCTCAGTCACTGTCACATCTGGGCCCATTGTCGCAGGCCCTGGGTCAGTTGGTCTCAGGGACGTTCTTCCTCCTCTTGCTGATCCTCTGCTGACCAGGCATGATGGTCTTTCCCAAGGAGCAGCCCCTCCTGATCACTTGCCCTGTGTCCCCCTGGGAAGTGTGGGTGAGAGATCTGTTTCCAGGCCAGGTCGTGACCTAGGGGGGAGGGGGAGGATGCCTCCCAGGCAGCAGGGTAAGTATAGTTTTGAGGAGCTTGACCAGTTGTGGGCGGATGGGGCAGTGTGAACGGGTTGTGGAGACGTTGCATTTCTTGGAAGGCTGCATTTAAGATCGGTGGGAGGACAGTGGAGGGGTGCTGCATGGCTGGGGGGCGCTGGGCTGTGCGCATCTGTGCTGACCTTGGCCCTTGGCACTGCTCTGGTGGAAAATCCGGGACAAAGGGGCCCCCGCTTCCCCTCCGATGAGACCCAGAGGTGTGGGGAGGGGGGGATGAGAGGAAAATAAGCCACAGCAGGCAGACCCCGACCCCTGACAGCTCTTGCCCTGGGACTTCTGTTTTTAGAGGTTAAAAAAGACCCCTCCCCTCCCTCCTTCCTTCTCTTTCCAGAAGAACCGAACGCACATAAGGTCGTCGGCCCACCCTCCGGACTCCCGTACCCCGATGATGTCCCGGACTATGGCCTCAAGCCATACAGCCCCCTGGCCAGCCTGGCTGGCGAGCCCCAGGCCCGGTTCGCAGAGGCCGAGAGGGTGGGTGCGCAGAGCTTTCTGAGCCCCGCGCCGCCAGCGGGGGCCTCGGGCCTGAGCCCTCGGATCGAGATCACTCCGTCCCACGAACTGATGCAGGCAGGGGGGCCCCTCCGCATGACAGACTCGGGCCCGCTGGGCCAGCCCCCCGCGCCCGGTGCCAGCCCGCGCGTCACGCTGCCCGTGCCCGGCTTCGAGGGCTACCGCGAGCCGCCTTGCTTGAGCCCCGCTAGCAGCGGCTCCTCTGCCAGCTTCATTTCCGACACCTTCTCCCCCTGCACCTCGCCCTGCGTCTCACCCAATAACGGCGTGCACGACGACCTGTGTCCGCACTTTCAAAACATCCATGCTAATTATTATTCCCCCAGAACGTCGCCAATAATGTCACCTCGAACCAGCCTCGCCGAGGACAGCTGCCTGGGCCGCCACTCGCCCGTGCCCCGTCCGGCCTCCCGCTCCTCGTCGCCTGGTGCCAAGCGGAGGCATTCGTGCGCAGAGGCCTTGGTTACCCCGCTGCCCGGAGCCTCACCCCAGCGCTCGCGGAGCCCCTCGCCACAGCCCTTGCCTCCCGGGGCCCCCCAGGAGGACGGTGCCCGGGCCGTGTACTCGCCTGCGGTTGGCTCCTCTGTCCTCATGGAAGCTCTGAACAGCCTGGCGGCGGACTCGCCGTGCGGGATCCCCCCCAAGATGTGGAAGACCAGCCCCGACCCCACGCCCGTGTCCGTGCCCAAGGCCGGCCTGCCGCGTCACATCTACCCGGCCGTGGACTTCCTCGGGCCCTGCGAGCAGGAGGAGAGGAGAAACTCGGCCCCCGAGTCCATCCTGCTGGTGCCCCCAACTTGGCCCAAGCAGCTGGTGCCGGCCATTCCCATCTGCAGGTGAGCAGGGTGGGCAAGGGTGCTTCAGAAGAGGGGCCTAGGGTCTGGCTGGTAGAGGTTCAGACGTAGCCCTAACTGCATGTGAGGTCCAGAGAAGGTAGAGAAGTTCTCTGAGCCTCAGTGGGCTCATCTGTCACATGGGTATCTAGAATGCAGCCACACCACATCTGGCACCGGATTGACTCACCCATTCATTTAATTAGTATGTATCCTGCACCTGTGCATTGTGGGGTTACACACACCATCCGGTCTGCACATTTTATAGCTGGCCCTCCACGTTTCAGAGGCAGTAATCTCTTAGGAGGAGATTACCCACCATTCCGTGGAGCCCCTGGTGGATTCTAACAGCTGGCCATTGGGTTGTCAGTGTAACTCTTTACCACTAGGCCACCGGAGCTTCCCTACTATGCTTTAGTTATCAGGAATAAAGGACCAAACAAGCAAAAGATGTGTTTTTGTGGAGTTGACATTCTAGAAGCACACTGCAAGCCTTGTATTAATTCTTATGATAAGGTGTGATATTATCGGATGGATGTCAGTTGCACACCTCAGTGCTGTGTTCAGTGATAGAGGACGTCAAATCATATGTGAGCCACAATCCCCAGGAACTGTGGCAAGCATGAACATTGTAGCATATAGATCTGAGGTCTTTTAGGACTCGGTCTGAACTTTGGCTCTGCCACTCACTGGCAATGTGACCTTGAGCAGCTCTAGTTCTACCACCCTGCTGCTCTGACAGTGGCAGACATTGCTAATCAATCAAGATACTTTTTCTTAGTAAACTGTTTGCTGATACTGTGCCCAGGACAGGCATTATTAATCAATTGAACATCTTGTTCTCATTGAGCATCTCTGATATACGCCCAGGGCAGGCATTGCTAATCAACCTAGATACTCTTTGTAATGGAGCACCTTTCTGGATTAACTTGGCAGCTTGTCCTATGTAAAATGAGGATAATAATCTTACCTCATGATGCTTTTTCAAATATTAGGTGATGCATGTCAAGTTTATGGTAAACAGCCTGTATGTAATAAGAACTCAAAGAAGTAATAGCTATTGTTACAGCAGAGGTGATGTTTACAAAGTACTTGCTGAAAGGACTGGAGCTAGGAGAGTGAGCTTATAGCCCTTAGACTAATTGTAATGATAACAATCACTGCTACGTAAGGATGCTTTCTGTGCCAAATGCAATGTTAAGTACTCTCAAAGTCTTATTTATTTTTTTTTAAACATAGACCCAGTTTGGTACAGTTTATCTTCATTTTTATAAGAAAAATGAGGCCCACAGTAATTAAAAGCCAGCATTAGTCTATCTTTGATAGTCTGAAGCCTTATGTTGTCACAATTACAAAAGAAATATAGAAGCATAAAGGCTTCAGACTCTATGAAAATAAAAAAATACTCTGCCATGTACAAATACAAAATACTCTATAAAAATTGTAACAGCATAAGGCTTCAGACTCTATCAACATCTTTTTTTATTTGAAAAAAGAGGCTTATCAAACTCTTAAATCCCAGTGGTTTTCAAGCATTTGGTAAGCCTCTTTTTCAAATAAAATATTGAGGTGAAGACTAATGAAGGTTATGATAGAGCTGTTCTAATTGACACGGGGATGAAGGTAGCCAGGGGTCCTGACCCGTGGGCCAAAGACTTGGTAATTGTTGTTGTGTGCTGTTGAGTCAGAACTGACCCATAGCTGATTCAGCAGTGGGTTTCTAGAGGCAGTTAATCGCATGGGAAGAGCTATCTATCCATCCTTCTTCGAGCTGCTGGTGGATTTGAACTGTGTGTCTAAGAATAGTTATATGAAAACGAACACTAGAAACATCTAGTCTGGAATTTTCTCCAGAGTGGTTCCTGAGAACGCCATGGCAAGATGGGACAAATCAGTGTTTCTCCTGAAAGGAGTTAAAAAGTGCATTCTACAACTGGGAGATTTTTCTTGGACCAGTATGAAATTGTTGAGTATGATTAGAGGTAGTGTGGATGGGACACTGACTGGGTGTCAAGAGACATGAAATGGGAGCATTGTCTGTGCTTTACTGTAAGACCATGGGGAGAGGTCTTTAAATTCACCAAGGCTCAGAAGGAATGTTCTAGATGAACTCCAAGCCCTCAGTCAGCTCTTTAATGCCCTAATTCTAACCACACATGGCATGCCTGTTTTGTGTACCAGATAGTAATAAGAATCTGCGAGAAAGTGTAACTGCAGTGTGTACCTTCTTGTATGGCTTCATGTGTGAAGCCGTAATAGTCTACGGAACGGAGCTGAATGGTCTACAGGAAACAACTATTTATTTTTAATGTACGATAGGAAAAATAATAGTTAGAGCTAGTTTATTTATTGAACACTTGTGCTAACGCTTTCACATGATTTCAGTATCTCCATTTTACATCTGAGGGCATTTGGCCAAAGCCATGTTGGTGGGTTGTGGTAGGTCTAGACTTGGGTGTATAAACCAAGAAAGGCTTTTTATGACAGCACTTAGCAACAACAACTACTATTTAATATTAGGTAATTGAATGATTGAACTCATTTATACCCAAATCAGACACCTCTCTGTGGTTGTATGTTCTAAACTTGAGATTGTAATTAGTGACTATAGTTGAAAAAGGACTTTACTCAAAAGTTACTTTTTAATTGAGATCATCTGAAAAAATAATGTTAAAACACGTCTCAGATGCCTTTGTGTCCATTTATTTTGTGCTGATAAGATACTGAGGGTGAGCAAGGTGATGTTTCCTGCCTGACATCACACAGCAAAGCAGTGATACAGGTGTGACCTTGATCCCCCACTTCAGGGCTCTTCCTCCTGTACTGCTTCTCATGCAGAAGAAAATATCTTGGCTACAGGGTGTTATTTTTAAAATTTTTTTATTTTGTGTATGTGTGTACCCTCGAGTTGCATCTGACTGGTACAGGAGGAGATTGTCCCTCCTTCTCCAAGTAGAGCATCTGGTGGATTCAAACCACTTATCTCTGGGATTGTAGTGCAGCTTCTTGCCACTAGGCCACCAGAGCTCGCCTACAGGGTATTTTTGAGAGGTAAAAGTTAACCATTCTACATTTCCAGAGAAAAAGTTATTACAGTTAGAAATGTGATACTACTATGTTATTTAAAAAATTGCTTCGTAAGTTGAGATGACAATTACATTGTCTTCCTAGAGATGAAGAGGAAATGACAGGTTCACCCTTGAATGATTTCTGGAAAGGGACCATGTGTGTTTATTGCACAGATTTCACATGACTGATTCTCTTCTTTCCAGCATCCCGGTGACTGCATCCCTCCCTCCACTTGAGTGGCCATTAACCAGCCAGTCGGGCTCCTATGAGCTGCGAATTGAGGTGCAGCCCAAACCCCATCACCGGGCCCACTACGAGACAGAAGGCAGCCGGGGGGCCGTCAAAGCACCGACGGGCGGCCACCCTGTGGTCCAGGTAGGACTCTGAATTTTTTAACTTTTGTGGTGTTTGTCGTTCGTGATTGCTCTGGTAAGCTTCTGCCGAGCTGCTTCTTAGGATGAAGTTTGTGTTACAGCCTCTCATGGTTGGGAAGAAGTTAGTATCAGAAGTTAATTCATATTTGCAGAAGCAAGCGAAGAATCTTTCTGTGAGTTGTAGGAGGAGAGACGTGATAGTCATGCTTAAGGGACAGTTTCTAAGGATTCTGCAGCCCTCCTTTTGGGTGTAGGTTTCAGATGAAAGCCCAGTGGGGAGAAACAGTATGTTTTTATAAAATACAGAAATGAAGGTGAAAAGTAGAAACTGTACATAATCACTTGTCCAAAGAGCATCCTTCTTAACATTTTGATGTGTATTTACAAATGATGTGTATTACAAATATGACTTTTATACCACATGTATTTCTATAATTGATGTTATGTGGATAGTTTACATTTATTTTGTGACTACATCTATGACTTTTGACTTGACTTGGTATTTCTAAAAAAATAAGTGGAGAAATGTGCTCTGACTCCTTCCCCTAGTAATTAGAATTGAAATACTAGTCCTAATTATCATAGCTGGCTAATGAGGAACTGCTATCTGGTTCTCATCAGCCAGCTTGACAATCAGGAATGTTAAATTTATTTTACTTTTCCTCCTTGGCATTTGCCTTGTACACATCCTATGATAAGATCTTAATTCTTAATTCACAGTGTACATCAACAACCCCTAGAATATTGTTAAAAATTAAGATTCTTGAGCATTCCCTGAACAACTTATTTAAAAAGAAATTCTAAAATATTTTACAGGTGATTTGGGTAAACATGTGTGGTTTAAGTAAGTACTTCTAGGATAATATTAGGGACTTACTCATCCTGGAAGTTGCTTTTGTTAAATATGGTGTCTGAGTCCTCTTGAGATCTGTTTCTGTTGATTGCTTTCCCCTCTTTAAACCATGAGCCAATTTTCCTGTTTCTTTGCACGCCTTGTAATTGCCGATTGTGTGCTGACATGGTGTTGATTATGTATATAGGATGTTACAGTCTCTGGGATTTATTATTTTCCTCTAAGCGCAATTCATTTACTGACTGACCACTTTTGACTTCTGTAGCCTTGATTGCCTATGTTGTTGAAGGTGTCTGTGGAAAGCCACGGTTTCTCCATGCCCTTCTGACTTGATGGGACCCAGCCTTCAAATGATCTTCCTTGTCACTCTAGCTGAAGCTTGGTCTTGGGTTTGATAGAGTCGTCTCTACTCAATTTATTATTGTGATTTGAGTGAAAGTTTACTCAGCATGTTGGTTTTTCATTTGCTCATTTATACACATTTTGTCTTAGTGCCATGAATTACCATACCCACAATGTAATCACTCTTCCCACTTCCTCCCTGTGGTTCCCCTTTCCGTTAGTCCTTCTATCCTTGGATTTTATCCACAGGCAAATGCTATTCTTTTGGCCTCTTGTGGTTGATTATTCTAAGAGTGAGGGCCTCCCTTGTGGTGGTGTTTACCATGTAGACCTGTCTCCTTTGGCTAAGAGTTGGTCACACGGGTGAGTTTTGTTCCAGATTCTGAGGGTGACAGAAGACTGTAATCTCCGAGGTGCTACCAATGTGTCTCTGACCAGCAAGCCTTGGCTCTCGATTTGGGATTTTGTTCCACATTTCTCCCACTGCTATCCAGCATCTTCTACCATGACCACTTTGATGGCAGTTAGCCATCATAGCCTGGCGCCATCCAGGACCTCTGGTCTCAGGATGGTGGATGGTGGAATTTGATGTCCCAGTATCCCTGACTGTAAAGGATGCCCCTTACTGCTAAGTCTTGCTGTCTCAGCATGCTTGGTGGGATGATCTCTCCACTCTGGTTAAGCTGGAACTCAGGGACCCAACATCCCTGCACTTCTTGACACCCCCTTTCAATTCCCTGCTCTGCTCCATAGCAGGCTTTCTCTGGTAAACCTTCCAGATCCTCTCCATGAGTTGTCACATCCCAATCCTTGACCAAAAAGACTTCCCCAGCGACTTCCTCCTTCTGATGCCCTCCCCACAGAATTTAGTGACTTCCACAGCCCAGGATTCTAACCTCTATTCTTCAGCCAGCAAGACCACCGTGCCTTGTTTAGACTCCAGGTCTATGTAGTAGATAAACTCTTCCAGGCTGAAAGCTAAAAGTGGACAAGGGCTCACTTGGCTTTGTAACTTTCTATGGGCTTGTATTGCCCGTTTCAAAGCTTGAAAGCACTGGACTTGTGTATTTTTGTTCTGTTTCATACTTGTTTGTGGTGGGAAGTTTAATCTGGGACCAGTTACTCTGTCACAGCTTGGAATTTGCTTTTTTTAGGCAAGTGGTTGGCGGGAAGTCTTCCTACCATTATTATCTAGGCTAATCTGTTTAGGATGGGAACCTTCTGGCTTAGAGATTGTGGTTGGTCTGTGTCTGAGTCACAACTTTTGGTAATAAGGAAGGAACTCATTTAGAGCAGATTAGGAAAAAGACATCGCATGAGGAAGCTGCTGAGAGATGGTGTAAAACAAGGACAAGAGATTAAACTCGAGAGAACATGGATTTAGGAAGGCAGGCTCAACAATTCTTGGTTCATCCCACAGGTGAATTCTTGGAGTAGAGTTTTGAGCAAGTACTGTGTTCCATGTACTGCTGAAATACAATCAAGAACTGTGTATAGTTTCTTCCCTGATGGAGCTTACAGCTTAGAGAGGGCAGAGAAAATGGATCCATTCAATGACGATGCAAATGATAGAATTAATTACAAGTGCAAGTGTCATGATGGAAAAGTATAAAGTATACTTTGGGAGTATAAAGAGCAGGTGATGAATGAAATTGGGAAGAGTATCAGTCAGGATCTCCTGAGGAAGAGCCCAGAGCTGGGAACCAAAGATGTGAAGGATGTGTAGGGACATGGTATGTGCGAATGCCTGGGGACAGCTGGAAGTAGAACCCATCAGAAGAACTGAAGGAGGCCAGTGTGGCTGGAATGAGAGGAGAGGGACCCAGAAGGGACCAGGGCATCCAGAGCCTAGAAAGCTGGGAGAGCATTGGGCCTTTACTCAGAATCACTGCTGCATGGTCATGTACGTACACAACAAAGAAACACCTGAGTTAGCCTTGGAGACCTCAAGTCAATCACTTGGTGGACAGCAGGCTTGAGGGGGCAAGAGTAGAGCCAAGAAAAGCTTAGAAATCTCTTTCCATTCTCTGGTCTTTTCTCTTCCCTCTAGATCCCAGTTGTTAAGAGGGAAAAAAATTTTAATTTTTAATTAATTTTAATGAACGTTTACAGAGACTTTGGATTTCCATTCATTAGTTGTTGCATTGTTTTCTCCCTGCCCACTTCTCTCCGCAACACCCCCCCCCCAGTTTGCTCTTTTCTTTGAAAAGTAAGAAAAATTTTTTCATTGTTATACAATCACTCCTCCAAGTCCACTCCACTATGCAACCTTTATTCTGGACTCTTGTCATGACCATAATACCCAATCAGATACCATTTTTAAACAGTTCTCTCCCTCATCTGTTTCAGTGCAGTATACATAATTTATCCAATCTTTCTCAGTCTCACCCCAACCTTGATGTCAGTCCTATTCTACAACAGTGGCACTATGCAGTATTTGTCCTTTTTTTAATTATTATTAAATTTTATTAGTTTTAATGAACATTTACAGAGATTTTGGGTTCTCATTCATTCACTGTTGCACTGTTTTCTCTACCCTCCTCCCCAGTTTGTTCTTCTCCCCCCCCCCCGAATGTCTAATTGTCCAATTGCCACAGTGCTTGTTAAAGCCAGTTCTGATTAATCTCCTTTGTCAGTGTGTCCTTTGCCAGGGTCTCTATCTTTTTAAGACTCTGTAGAAAGTTTTTTTGATGGATCATTGAGCAGATACTTAGTGAGCATTTACTCTGTAGCAAACAGAGTTTGGGGAGCTCTGTAGGCCTAGTGGTAAGAAACTGCGCTACAGTCCCAAAGGCTCAAGATTGAATCTCCAGTTGCTCTGCTGGAGAAGGATGGGCAGTTTCCTCCCATGCGATTTACTGCCTCTGAAAACTTGCCGGAGGGTCAAGCTATGAGTTGATTCCTACTCAAGGGCAATGGCTTACCATTACCACCATTATAAGGTGCAGTTGTAGATTCCAGATAACAGGGTTAAGTGACAGCTCCAAAACTTTGTGCTCATGGAAGTTACATTGTAGCACGATGGTAATAATATTATTCTAGTTCCTGGTTGGCTCCAAGTCCCTGTAGCCTTAGGAGGAACAGAAGGAAACACTGCCCATTCCTGGGCCATCTTCACGGTCCTCGGTGGAGCCATCATGCGAGCCCATCCTGTGGAGGGTGTCCTTGGTTTCGCTGACCCTCTACCATTTGTGATGTCCTTTTCTAGTGACTGGCCTTTCCTGATGAAATGTCCCGAGTTAGCAAGTCAGAGTCTAGCCGTCCTCCCTTCTAGGAGTGTCCTTGTTTTGAAGGAACTTCCTTGGGATTCTTCTAACACGGAACTGCTTGTTCTTGTGGCAATTCATGGAGTATTTGATATTCTTCACGAACTCTGTGTTCGTACCCTAGTCTCAACCCTAAACAGAAAACACAACCTTTGCAGAATCTGACCGTTCCACTCATCTTCCCAGCCTGGAAATAACCCCAGACTGGCAGCCATAAGCCTTTTTAACTATGAACACAGAGCAGAATTTAAAAACTGGTAGCCAAAAAAAAATAATGGATACCTCTTGGGTGGGGGGGATAAAAACCCCCACACAACTAAAAGAGCTGGTAGCTGTGGCCTTGAAAACGTGCATAAAACCAAAATGAGAACAACACAGCTGGATCGTTGGTTTCTTTGTCTTTGCTTTTTTGATAAGATTCTTTTAAAAAAATGAGCCCCTTTTTTAAAACTGAATTTTTTAAAATGAGGATCCTTGACGTTTTAGTATATAGGAAAATCAGATTAAAAAAAACCCCACCAACTTCAAAAGGGGAGACTC